AGAGGTGCACTTGGAGATAAAATGTTTGGAAGGTTTGAAACACCGTGAACCAGAAAGTAAGCGAGGTCAATTTACCTTTTAAACTCATACGAAGGTTAGCAAACAAAGAAAAGGAGAGCAGAATCGAGCAATTAACATAGGAAGGGTGATTCTCTGTGTTTAACACTTCTTCCACAGTTTTTGTATGGAAACAGTAGAAATTTTTATTGACAACATAATTTGAGTGAACAGAGAACACTTACTTGTTTCAGTCATTCAAGTCTTTTTTGCAAGGAATCCCGTGGAACGACTTATTGCTGCGAAAGATAACCGGAACGAATTCCTGCTTAGTTTATCCCACACTATACTCTCTTTCACCAAAAGATCCGTATCATATTGCTTTTTCATCGACCTTCGATTTGTTCATCGGAATATTATACTTCTCTTCAGAGCTTTCACAGCAAAGCGATGATAAATTGCCACTCTTCAGATAAAGAAAACTCTAAGGCAGACGTACGATATAATTTTAAATTAATGCAATCTGAGCGTTCATAAGATACTGACTAAAACGGCTTATTTCGAATTCTTTAGACGCCGAAGGAAAACGGATGGTAGCAACAGCAAGTATTTTCCTTAGTCATTAATATTACTAGCTGTCATTTCGAGTGTTGAACTTGCCTATGGCTGTGGTTGCGCTGCCATCTAATATGCAAGTGAAAATGTTTCGAACACGCCACAGGTCATCCAATCCTCCCATCCTCCCAAGGCCGTGAAAGTGGTATAAGATTCGTGAACAGATTCCCCCCAAGCCGTAAATCCTAGGAATGCTCTAGCATGGCTCTACCAAGATTCCGAAAAGAAACGACACAGTCAGCATTCAACGACATTAGTAATGGAAGTAAAACATTATCAATAACTCGAAAGACCGACTTTCTATAAACCTCGGCATAAATAGTTGATGTATTTATTTATAAGATCATATAAATAAATATAAAACACTATCAGTTAGGAAATAAGTACATGTGCTCATTCCAAGATCTTCGAGGCAGATGGAGGGGAGGGTCTGACCGAATGACAGAAGTGATGATATCCGCACAATATGTGATATTGGATCATATAAAATGAAGAGTAAAAAGAAATTTCGTACTATGAGGTCGTTACTGTTTATAGGTTCGCAGTAGCTTACATAAAAGACAAGTATAGATGAACGGTGCTATAGAGATGGCACAGCAGCTGAGCAAACGCTCCATTTTTTGCAAAGAGTTGCAGCTGCAAATGAAATGCCTGATGACATGGAGGATCGTCTCTTTTGAGCCGTAGTATTTCAAAGATTCATGGACGATAATCCTTGAGGAGCAATCCTAAAAGCAGCTTTTTGATTGAAATATTTGAAACAATTTTGTATTCTTCTGTATAAACGGTCTGTATAAAGACCGTTTGTAATAAACTCGAAAACTGAGGGAGCGGGTACATCATGACTTTAATGAGGGAGTCATACTGTGTAAACCCCTCTCCTTTCGACTGAAACGTTTGCCCATGAGAGCGACCACTTTATAGGGTTCCATGGGAGGTATGATGCACTTAAATCTCCTTGCCATTATTAGTTCATTGTGGGATTCGCGGTGCGTTGGTCGCAAGGGCAAGTGATGCGTCACTGTGTATCGAGTGGAGATTCAAACGCTTTCGAAAACGAACCTCAATTTGCGATGACAGATAGATTGGTTCAAAAAGTGATCAACATGATTCCTTCGTGCCAAAATGAGATACACATTTTTCATTCATAGTTTGCGATTTGAACTCCTCCATAACAACAGCGATTCCTGTGATGCAGTGAACTCCGGAACTCAACAACCGAAACCGTTTAAGGGATATGTTATACATAGTAAATCCGACAAAAGGAATATCCACCATGGTGTATTCATAAGCCAATACATCTAAATAAAGACCGTCACTATTCCCACTTCGATAATTCCACCACCAAAGTGTTGGTAGGGTTAAGAACTTAGTTCAACAGATCGATAACTATTCATTGGAGTCTCAGTGAAACTTTTTGAGAGGTATGCCGCGCGTGGAACTAATATTTGGTAAAATTCGGAGAAAATTTTGTCACGACGTTCCTAGCTATCTACAAGCGGTAATTACACACCACTATAGACTGAAGGAAGATTTGCCAGATTGGTACCATCTGGTGGGATAGTAATCCATGACATGTGTTTACTCCTAATTAGGTTTGCATACCTTATCATCTTGCATAATTCTAGCGGCTAACGTATTCCCTTCCATAAATCGCTATGCTATGCGACTTTCAGGAACACTCCCAAGCAACGATATCGCGAGAATTTTTTGGAGAAAGAACCTTATTACCGCTAGTTCCCACTTGGGGTGAAGACAGTGCCCTGACTAATCAGTTAGAGTTTTATCTTATTGGAACAGTTGAAACCTTAGAAATGCCTCTTAGAAAGCGGCTTATTTATTTAGATACGTGGCCCGACTTTCCCCAACTGTGTACTTCTTCCATCCGGTTCGCAGTCTCGTATCTGCAGAAATATATATATGTACATATATATACTATATATATTACTATATACTATATATATATATATACTAAAATACCCCAAAAATCCGCGCTCACCTTTTCGATTCAACATTCTTCCCAGCGCCCAGTGGTGAAGCAGAGACGTAGGCTGATATTTCAAGCACGTGGATAAATCTGAACACTACCGACAAAGCGTTTGAACGATATCTTCTAAATTTTAGCTTATTATTTACTGCCTATTCTTTTTAACGGAAGAGCATATTGCGAAGTATAACTTTCGATGATGCTGAGATATTTGAAATATTCCGTAATGCAGGTGTCTGCAGTGGGGATCGAACACGCTATTACCCTTTTCGGGGCAAAGGCGTTCGCCACCATACCATTCAGGTCCTTCGTTTTGCCTTTCTCTCAGCCATGTGTTTAATCTATGAGTGCTAAGAGAAATCATCCGTCAATGGAATTGATCTGGGTAACACAAATTGGCATTGAACCTTGTTAAGCTGAAGCTGTCCTATAAATCACAAGGTAGTCACTTTTTATTTCCCGCCTATTTTCCTTATGGTAAGGTATGATGTGGAATGAATGAAATAAATACGGCTGAAAGAAAGGCGAAGTGAAGGACCCGTTTGATGTGGTGCTAAACACGTTAGCCTCCGGATAAGGTAATAACGGGTTCGATACACCCAGCAGACGCCTTCGCTCCAGAGTTCTACAAATATTTCAGCATCGTTGGAGGTGTATGAATGCATATCTGGCTTTTGCAACGACTCACGGTGGCCGATGTGTCGGACCAGTGCTGCTATCCTCCTAGGCAAGTCTGGTATCCATTTGTCGATCCCGGAGTGATGGAGGGCTTAGTGGGCCTGGTTCGCGAGGATGGATCCCATGTGTATTGCATAGCGCCTCTGACCATTGTACTACACTCGCCCTTGCAACCGCAGTGGTGCTGACGTATTTGCAAAACTCGAATCCCTCACCAGATTCGAGTCCTTCGTATCCCGTTGCAAGGGTTCACGTATAGTCTACTGCACCAAGGGCCTTGCTTTGCCTTTCTCTCAATAAATTTTTTACCCTAACGCCCTCAGCAACCATCCGTAAATGGTAATTATCTGGGGATTATAAATCGGCACTGCACCCAGTTAAGCTGAAGTTCCATTGCGGTTGTATTTCACATAATACCTTGCCATGAAGAAACAATAAGCAGTAAATAAACCATCTCTGCTTACCAGATCATTACCGCTAGCGGATCATTGCTGATAGCACCGTTAGGGTAAAAAAAATCGAGAAGAAAGGCAAAACAAGGGCCTCAGTTGGTGTAGTGAATACTACATGAACCCATGTGAGAGCAAACGTAGGTTCGAAGCACATCTGAAGTTCCCAGTTTTGCTCCTATCTAAGCATCAATGCTGTGGTATTTCACATAATACTCTGCCTTGGAAAAGACGGGTAGTGAATAGGAGTTAAACAATCTTACAAATAACCGAACTAAGACGCTTCCTCGTGTAGCGGAGGAAAGCATGGGATAGCGTCAAACCAGAGCTTCTCTACGGAATGAGTGTCTATCAACCACTGCGCTAACTCCATCTGATGTTCATATACTGCGTAGAAATACCAAGAGTTTTCGCAAAGTCTCGGTGACAAATTCCTTTTATCAATCAACAATATTTTGAAGAAAATTTCAAACTAGAATGTTGTGGTTTTCAGGCTTTTTGCAAAGATTCAGCAAATGTTTCTCGACACCAACTTCCTGTTAACCTCGCCACTGCTCAGTAAGTCAGTGTTCTATTTTGGAGCAGGCACGAAGTTGTCAAAAGAAATATATTCAGTAAAACATTGCCTGACCCTTCGGCACTTTCCCTTTCATGAAACTTTCCCTTCAAGTTTTTGTTGGAGACCAGAGTAACCGAACAGATCGTTACATGGGTCAGTGATGTTACAAGTTCATTCCTGCTGAAGAATAAAACTCCTACTCAGTGCTTTCTTCGCTTTACAGCCGATGCTAAAGGTACCACAAAACGATGGAGTATTTCATTATAACAATGGAAACATAATTAGTAGAACATTTCTGTGCCATGACGTAAACGATTCGCACAAAAAAGTCACATTATATACAATTGAACATGATCACGGAAACAGATGATATGAGACTTATAAAAAACAACTGAAAGACAGAAGAAATGGAACTTAACTTACATAATTGAAAAACCCCTAACTAATTAACCTTGAAAATAGTTTGAAAACACTCATTTAGCTTAGAAGATGAAAAACAATATTTAAAAAAGTTATTAACTATGCTGCGCTTCGCTTCTTTGACATCAACGACACAGTTCACTGCGTCCAACTAATTTCAACAATTTTAGAGCATTGGAAAAGACTCATAGTACTGCGAGAAGCCGAATCATGAATGAAGTACACTGAAGAGATAATAAGGGATAAATGGATGTATACTTGACGATACATCTTCACTGGGAAAGATCAGCAGAGATCAGTGTTTCACCTTGAGATAGCAAATAGAGGACTTTTCACTTGACAACACCACAATAATAAGACTGAAACGGGCTGCCGCACGTACAATCTGAAAGTATATTTAGCTTTTTAAAGCATTTTAAGTAGTATTTTAAAATTTTTGAACATAAAATATTTGGTAATGATAGGCTTAACACACCATAATGAAGAATTAACGAAAAAAATCCGCATGAAGCGACTGTATGCTTGTCAAGAGTAAATCCACAATCGTAATTCATATATAACACAATCAAATACTAAAGCATTCAATTGAATGAGAAACATTGAATAAAGAAGTACGGCACTTAGACGACTAAAATAAGGCAGAAAATCATGAACAAGAAAGAAACAGAACACCAACCTTTTCGATATTTCCATCCAGTTCATGAACGGCTCTCTGCATCCGCCATCGACCATCGCAAACCTCTCCATCTTCTTCCTCTTCGGAAGAATACTGTAATTTGCGAAAAATTGGCCTTTCCAGGTTCAGAAGAACGCGAGATCCCCCGAAACACCAACTTTTATGAATGAAGGTACAGTAACAAGAACATGCCTGCTCATCAAGAAAACACCGAATTAGTGCAATTACAATTATTTCGAGGATAGTTGCGCTTTGAAAACTCTAGCATGCTATTACGAGGGTTCCCGCAGTGCTTTTAAACATACAAGAGGTGAGCAACGACAACATTACATACATGGTCAGAACCATGAAGCTATTTACTAACTACATAAGGAAATCAAGACTTAAAAAGGCGTCGCATAAGACAATGTGAGCAAATTATGTTATTTGAGGGCGTTCGTGTTAAAAAGCAGAGTTTTGCACCTTTTTTCAACAATTCGATTACAATACTAACTTCGTCCTGCCTCTTCAAATAATCGATCTCAATAAGCGCTAAGCCGTATTCAAGCAGATCACAGCTCACTTCGTCAACAAACGCTGATGTGGAGGAAAACGATCCAGGTCGGCGGAGTGTAAAACTTCAACACATTATTTGAAATTTACTTTATGCAATAAAAAGGTTGTAAACAAACTCCCGCTTACACTTTGTTCTTTTCGATGTTATACTGAGTAGCACTTGAGAATCCACACATTACGGTTTTCTTTGAATCCACAAGATAGTAGGAAAGTGGACGATATGAACTGCAATATTCTCCGCGTAGTGCGCCACTGAAAAAAGAACATAGTAATTACCCGAATCAACTTGTTCTTAACCTCAGCATTGACCAAGAATTCACTGTCTTTAACAAGAGGCACAAGGCATAATATTATACAATCTATTCATAACAACTGACATCTCAGCGTATTTCATATTCTTAAGGGATTCGAAACGTCGAATTTACTGCAATTTTACTATTCCGTTGCTTACATTATCTACTGCGTGGATTTCAGAACCCTTACATTCAATTCGTTTTCCTCGCAAATCATAGCCCAAAACACTTCGTGTGTTCTGTCGACCGCTATTTCACGACTTCCTCTTCTTTATGATCGCTGTAAAATACTGGTCGAGTCCATTCTCCTTGCAATCCGGAAGATAGTTAAGCTAAAAAGTCTCCAGATGGATTGGAGGAGAGCATTGGAGAAGAGTCAAACTAGTGCCTTTGCTTCCTAATTGACGGCATCACTAAACCCCCCCCCCCCCCCCCCCCCTCGCAATGAAATCCACATACACCGCCATTCACCGCAGTTCAATGATTGCAATTTAGTGGGACAAATACTGTCATAAACCCAACTGAAAAACCGAATACTTGGATTTCAATATCACTGGAAACAACTTATTCGGACACTCATGACACTCACCGTTTCCCATTATGGGAATATCGAAGCTCAACCACAATAAAAGTATTTTCTCATCTCTATCGGCTTAGGAAAAACAACGACGCCGAAACAATGTTTAAAATTTGGTACAGACTGCCGTTTTTCTTAAACGGAAAGAAACAATTTCAAAAAAGAAAGAAAAGCATACCTCCAATCGAAATTTCCTTCAAAAGACGCTTTCCCGTTGTTTACCAAACATTTTACACACTCAGATGGCGGGAACTTCTGGCACTGGCAATATTCAACGGTACATTCGACGCCGATTACGTGTCCACAACCACATACGTGAGGCATCCTAATAGCAACCACTATGAAGAATTAGAAAAACGTTACTGAAATCAAAGATTAAAAAAGGGAATAAAATCAACGACCCTCTATAAATGAAGGAAAAGTGTTAATTTCGATAACTTCCACGTAATAATGGGAAATTTTCGTTATTAAAAACCAAGTGCGGCGATTAACCGAACAAAGCATTGGATTCAATTCACGTAGCACCACTTATAACTCTCTAAATACTCATTAGGAAACTCTGTAATCACTGAAGCAACTACTGCCTAAGAGTAATATTGTTATCGATCACGTCCTTCCTATTTATATTGGTAAAAATACAGCAAGTAAAAAGAAAACAAACTGTGGAGTGAGACGCGCCCGTTTCTTTGGTACCTGCTCGCACTCTTCACCCATCTTATCAGAGTCATTTTTTCGAGATTTTAACCAATCCGCGTACTGCCAGCCATATCGACAGTTACCGAATACAAGCCTGTGTAGAGAAAAACTCTAGCGTAAGACAACTGCTCCTTTACTCCTCAACACATTTAAAAGCAGAGCACCTTGTACCTATAGATTTTCAGTGAAATAACAAATGGATGAAGAAATTTCGTTGACCCTCCCAATGATTTGCTGCTTTATCGTGGCTGGGAGGTGTTCCTGGGTCTCAGGCTGCGATTTACAGCGGTGGCAGTCATTCCCCATGCATGGTCTCCCAAGCTGAGAAGTAGTCCGACATTTCCACTAAAACCCAGTGAATACAAAAGCAGTGCCAGGATCCACCAGCATCCTGGTATTAGACTAGTCGCACGATAGAAAATCTCCCTCTGATCCACAACGGCGACGACTGCCTGTGGTTGTGACGACCTGGGGAAGACTTTGGCTAGGCCACAATGGTTAAACCAGCAAAACTCCGAAACAATGGAAATTATGCTATGGGCTACACAATCAGTGAAGAAGGACCATCCAAATATCGAAGTAATTACGTTCTGAAATTTACACTGCCGAAAAACTATTTATCGTACCCATTTTTGAATTTTAGTTGAAGAAGACGCATAGCAGACCAAGCATCCTCCACAGAACAATGACCGTGCGAGTTCTGGAAAATTATATGAAAACGATCGTTGAAGGTAAACACAACAAGAAAACCTGAACCCCATATAACCTGGATTTCTTCATCAAAGAACACTGCCATCAGATTCTTCAAGCTTGTTTTATTCCTCGCAGTACCAGAAAGATTGTATATAAGGCCGATATCGATACAATACCTGAATTTTACTCATAGAATATGAAAGTAAACATCATTAAACAACGGCACTAAACAAGTGGCCGATGCATAAGCTTTTGCCTCATTCACCAAAAAGAACACACGTCAACATATTTTCTTTTATCTTTTAACACAAGTATTAAATAGTAGTTTTTCGACAAAATATGTTTTTCCACAAATCTAATTTCCGAGGTTAACAATTTCTCTGGCTTAATTGCTTTTGTTCAGTGATCAAATGTTAAACATACGGATGTGCCATTTGCAGTGAATGAAGATCAAACTCCAGCGAGTGGCCGCACAAAATGCCATCCGGAGGTAGAATTGAACGAATAGCAGCTTGGACGTCTTCTAACGATGTGGTAGCACATTCCATTAGTTCTGGTGTGATACCAGAGAATTTTGTCAAGTAATCCTGAAGATGAAAATCAAGAATATTTCCGAATGGTTAGTTGGCTGCAGGAAAGAGACGACCCCCGAAGTGATGAAATAGCAAAACTCTTCCCTGTCGAACACATGTTAGCAACAAGGTACAGAACACAATCTCACCGTTATTTCGTTATACGGTTTCACCAGTGTATCCAGTACAACAGTGCCATCTTCTCGAACCTAAATCATAAAGACATGAGCAAACCAGTCCGACCGTACACCGCAGGAGTTCCTGTCTATGTAAATGAAAATATATTCAATGTTTTTTAAAATTTTTTCATGACCTTTCTTCACGTCTACTGTGCGGAACCCAGAAATTCTCACGTTCGATTCATTTCCTCGCATCCATTTCCCGCGAAGATCTTCCAACTTTTACGCGTGGCCTCGGTTGCTGCTTGAGGAATTCCATTTCATCTTGAATGTGGTAGAATGCCGATCGAGTCGATTCTCTCTGGAGCCCTGAGATAACCTGGATGGACCGTCCCCATTTCGGCTGTAGAGTGACTTTTTTCCCGGATAAGTCCGACACCGACCCCAGAAGGATGAGATGCTTGGATGGGCCGCAGCGGAATAGTGACCGACATCACTACCACTGCGCTATCCGACCCTATTCACAATGTTACCATCGGGAAAAAACTCCAAAAAAGGTACTAGACACATTCCTACTAGTTATATCAATTCACATACTATGGATATCCGCGTTAGCTCATGATGACCGGCCGAAGTTACGCACATTTCACAATCCAGAGCGAACACCGGCGAATCTCTTGTTACAGTTGCATACCTCAACATAAGGAAATCATTTAGAAGGAACGCTATTGCACTCTTAATTTTAAGCAGTAACCACGAGCTGAAAACAACTCAATGCATAACAGTGGACGCTTGTTTTGAAAGCATTTCACACAATATAGTTGTAGTGACATTACCGCTATTCACATAGTGCATAAATTATGACGTAACAAATACATGTTACATATCTATCGATTTATGAGCAGTAAACCGACGGTTTGCTCTCATTAGCTATTGAGAGAAAAGATCGCACTTGTCTTTTGTGGCGATGATTGAATCATCTGGGAACGGATAGCCATTTTCAACCATTTCAGGTGTTGTGATAAGCAATTCAGTTTTCAAGCCTGCGCACTTTCCCAGGCCTTCCAAAGGATCTATCCTCTGCAATGGAAGAGGAAGTACATTGGAATAAAATGACATAAACAACACAAAATTTATGAGAAACAGTGCTCGGCACGAATTAACAGTCGAACTCACACAAAGCCGAATACAATTTAACTTCAAAGAAACTTACCAGTTATTACTGTACTCTATTTCTAATCCTAAACGCATATAACTATCATAAATGTGAAATATACAACTATAATATATGTCTGTAAAGTAAATAAAGAGCGCGCGCAGCGCAGTGGTCGGAGGCACCCTGCAGTACACATGAGATCGATCGTCGCACCTAAGGCTCACCAACACTTCCATCAATCCGAGGTCGGCAAATTGGCACCAGAGCTGTCTAGGATGATAGCAACACTGTCTCGATACATCAGTAGACCACTGCGAGTCATTGTAAAGGCCAGATATGCATTCAGTCATTTCCGACGATGCTTAATGACGTCGAATGTATGGGGCATCCCTCAGGTATTTCTCAACGCCGAAAGCTTTTTTGATTTTAATACATATAACTGCGAAGAGTAAGTGAGAAAGTGCAAAACAAAAAGAAAACGATATGAGGTACTTCACCGGAAACGTACCAATACTCGCTCACGAATTTGTTCTTGAATGCCAACAGGAACTTTCATTAAGTGGTCCCAAAAACTCTCACGATCTTTCACTGCCGAATCCATACGAATCCATTGTTTTTCGAAGAAGTTCTCAATAAATGAGAACGAAAACCCATTGTCTTCCTGAACATTTCATTAAAAGCTTACGAAAACTTGTTGTACGGAGAAACTCTATGAAAAGAAGTGAATACTTGCTAAATATTCATTGGGGACATCCGCTCGAATGACAACCGTTTGCGATGTGCTTTTCCACGGCCTAAAATGAGCCCACTTGGGTTTGCCTACAAGCGGACCGATAACTGTGTATTGCACCAGTTCACGAACTTCTGTAAAGGTTTCACTGTGATTAAGTTATTGAAATTTCAACTGTATGAGATAACAATCAAAACACTGCATTAAAACATATAAACCCCCTTTTCAAAGTATTTGATACCTAAAAGAATACAGAAAGTACAAAAAAAAAGGAAATAAAAATACAAAACACAGTTGTATAAACCTGCGTGTGATATCAATACGCCACCTAGACGTTCCAGTGTGAGTGTCAATTGCGGACCAGGTTGGCGCTGATATCTCGCTGATACCAATTTTCTTGATATTTTCAACGAAGAGTCATAGCCTAAAAGAATTTAGATCAAACCAAGACGCAAAACTTAAGAAGGCACTCGTAATGAATAAATAAACAAAGAATTAAGCTCCCTGCGTTGATCAATCCCTGAGGGATGCGCCATGTATTCGACTTCATTAAGCATCGTTGGAGGTGTATGAATGCCTATCTGGCCTTTACAATGACTCGCGGTAGCATACTGACGTATCGAGCCAGTGATGCCATCCCCCCAGAGAAGTCTGGTACCTATCTGCCTACCCTCGAGGGATACAAAGCTTGATAAGTCTGGGGAGCGGGGATCGATCCCATGTGTTGCAGTGCGCCTCTGACCAGTTTGCTACGGGGACCCCCTTGTAATGAATAGTATATGGATACAAAAAAAAGAAATAAAATCAACTCACTGCTGCATTGTGGCGAAACTGTGGAATCTACACGTTCAGTGGACAACCGTGAGCTCGTGGCTAATTCAGCTTCTTCAATAGCCTGCATTTCCTCCTCCGAAAGACCACCTAGTAGGAAGAGCTCACTAATCTTCTTCCTCAACTTGTTTAAACGACGATTTTTACTTTTCTCCATACTTCAGTATCTTCTGGAAATTCCCAAAATTGGATGAAATAAGCATTAGAATGGTCTATAGAAAAAAAACCATCATACCACATTATGCGACTACAATTTGTATGAAATAAATCAAATATCCAGTACTTGCCACACGCTAACTGCATGGAATGCCTCATGAAAACAAAGAGAAACTCATGAAGGAAGAAAAGTTCATCTAACACTAAAACTGTCACCGAAGCAGTTTTCGGAACAAAGCGGAGATCTTCGCTCATCGTCTAACACAAAACTCATGCGTTTGGGTGCCATCGAAACCCCGGCAGAATGGTTGGAAGGCATCTTTGCTAACCATTGCACCAAAAGCGCTACGCTGACGATCGCCAAAACTACTGTCTACTCAACACTCCAACCCGATGAAATACGACCAGCTTCAAGACGAACTGTTCCATCAGGGGCAAAGCATTCCTATCGGTCGCGGTATAACAGAAAACCTATGCGTTTTGGGGAATTGAACTCCCTTCGAATGCTTGAAAGGCATCTATACTAACCTATACGCGACAAACGCTCTGTAGATGAGAGTCAAAACTGTTGTCTACTCAACACTGCGTACCTTTCGAGTGCTATAAGTGCCATATATGACTCACATCGATCGTAGAACCCTCGCAAACAGACCACACCCATTGCTTGCTTCATTAGAAACAACTCTCATAGTCCTCAAAATGTTAATCCATTTGTATAATAAACAAGGAATCGCCACATGACTCAAATGTTTTTCACTCTTCTCTCACCCTTCTGAGAAGAAAAGTCAAAAGAGGCACTCTAACCTGCAAAGACGTCTTGTTAATTCCCTCACCATGAATAACTTCTAAAAGCAGAATTCAATGAGACGAAAAATTGCCCCGAATCTATCCACGAAACTTACTCGCTTGCATATCTGGATAGACCATCCTCACTACTTTTGCGGGATCTAGCATAATTTCCAATTTTTTGGAGTTTTGCTGGTTTAGCCACTGTGTTTCCCTGGAGTCACGAGCTCAGCCTAGCCAAAGTCTGTCCCACCTCGTTGCCTTCGTGGATCTGAGGGAGATTTGCCACCATGCGACTAGTTTAATACCAGGACGGTGGTGGGTCCCGATACTGCAGCTGAGGAGCAGATTTAATACAAAACTGTATTTAAGATGATGCTTACATGGCAAAAGAAGCAATGAGTAAGCAAATGAGTCACGTGTGATTCATAGCGATCAGTGCCTCAACGGGTGTTCGATGTTATTCCCGAAAGTTGGAGTTCAAGGTAAAACTTCCAAGCAATTGGTAACTGACTCCAGTGGAATCTTCTAACTTAAATTATTTTCTTGCCAATTTAAATTGTCTGCTAATTCTACAGCCACAACGATATTGGTGAAAAAATAGATCGGCATCTCGGAATTTTCTAACATGAATAAAAGTCAACAGCATAAAAACTAAGGAAATTGTAAAACTGGAAACATGACTCAACTAATGAAAGTTTTTGGAAAGAGGGAATTGATTAAGAAGACGTGTTTCGTACGTCATTCAGTGTAATTGCAGACAAAGTTTTATATTTTATTTTCTTGTATATTAAAATTAAACTGACGTAATTAAACTAAGCTGATCTGATACGCCTAAACTTAAAACCAAGTAATTCTTCGTAATTCTTCAAGTAAGTGTGAAACATCTAATCATAGGTTTAGGGTCCTCCCAACGGTTTGCCATCTCGTCGTGGCTGGGGAGGTGTTCCTGGGTGTCGGACTGCGATGTACAGCGGGGAATTCATCACCTGGCAGGGTCTCCCAAGCTCAGAAGGAGTCCGGCGTTTCTATCAGGAAGCCTAGCTAAGAGCAAAGCAATACCAGGATCCACCACCGTCATAATATCAAAGTCGCATGGTGGTAAATCTCCCTCTGATCCACAAGGGCTGCGACTGCCTGTGGTGGTGAAGACCTAGGGTAGACTTTAGCTAGGCTAACTTCGGGACTCCAGGAAACCATAATGGCTTAACCAGCATCTCCGAAAAATGGAGTTTAGGGCCCGCACAGCCAGCGAGGATGGGCCATTCAAGTATTAAGTAAGTTAGGTTCAGGGTTGGTTTCTTTGAAGTACACTTGTACACTATAAGATCTGGTAGTTCTCTTCAGCTTCATTAAGGGCTAATATATGCATAAAGGCACGTGTAGCTTAGTGGTTGAAGGCACCTTCCAATGCACATGGTATCGATCCCCGCGTCCATAGCCCACTAAGCTCTCCATCCCTCCGGCGTCGCCAAATTGGTACCAGACCTGTTCAAGAGGATAGTATCACTGACTCAACACATCGGCAGGCCACCGTGGGTCGTTGTAAAGACCAGATTTACCTTCAGTTACTTCCAACGATGTTTAATGCAGTCGAATGCATAACGCATCCCTCAGTGATTGATCAGCGCTAAGAGCTTAATCCTTAAGCTTAATTAATATATGCATAAAGAAAAATACCTAAGTGGTAGTGATCGGAAATCGTAATAATTAGGCACTATAGAAGCAAGAACTTATTAACCTTAATCTTAATCATTTCTTCGGCTCATTTTCCTATTGGATATTTCCTTCACCTCCTACTTTTACAACCGTTAGTCCTTCGCTGTTTTGTTGGTGTTATAGTTAATCAAGAAGCATCAAACGCAATGGTTAAAGGCACCAAGCAATGGACACGTGGTCGTTGGGTTAGTTCCGCATTCTTTGCAAACTAGTCGCTCTATCACCTTGGAGTCGGCAGATTGTTATAGTTTTTGTCTAGGAGGATGAAAACGCTAACTTAGTACACGGTTAGACCTTCAGAAGTAATCTTATAGGCAAATATTCCTTCAATGACGGCGCATTCTACGATGGTATGAATAGTTTTATACATCGTATATCTCCCACGAATATATCAGCGCCGAGGGCTTTACAATTTATGCTATTTATTTAAACAATTTATACTTATAAAAAAATTAAATATTAACATCCTTTGAAAAGGAATACAGAAATCAATACCGAAAATTGAATCAAGAATGGGTCAGCACGGCAAAGGCCGCGGGTTTAGAGCCTTCAGTTATTTTCGACTTAAAAACGAACACCCGATTTGTCCTGACCTTTACTTGCTTATTAAAACACATAAGCTTACTTCGACTGATGATATTACGTCAACAAACCCATCATCACATAAAGTTAGACCTATCATCAGTTGTATGGGAGGGCCAACAGATAGAATAACGTGGTTCCTAAACCTTATCCTAACCCAGCTGCTAAAATTCATCCCAACCCATCTACTTAACACCAAAATATTTCCAGATCACCTAAAGCGCGCGCAACCAAACAGCACGCATATAATGGAGTCATTCGATGTTAGTTCACTTTATACCAACGTGTCCAATGACTACGCAATGCAAGCCATTCTCGAGTTGCTCGTAGAGCATGAAAAGAAAATAAAAATGCACGGCTTGTCGATTGCGCAACTAATGACCCTCTTAAAACAGTGTCTTAGTTGTTCAATCTTTAGGTGGTCTGGAAAATATTTTGCACAAATTAGAGGGTTGGCGATGGGGCAGCGTTTAGCACCAAGCCTTGCCATCGCTTTCATGTCTAAGGTGGAAGCTCCAGTTCTCGATCACCGACCCTTACTCTACTGTCGATACAAAGATGACTGCTTCATCGTCTGTTCCACACAAGAACAGATGGATGAGTGCTTTGAATTGTTAAACCGACAGTCGGAGTATATAAAATTTACACGAGAAAAACCTACCGAGAACTGGCTTCCATTTTTAAACATACAAACAAAGCTCTCAGTAAGTGGCTGTATAACAAAATGGTATCGCAAGCCAAGTAGTAAAAACATTCTAGTTCACTGCCTCTCCTCTCATCCTTCATAC